CCCCCCCCCCCCCCGCTTCCGTCCTTCACACCCAGACAGCGCTCGCGGGTTCCCCGTGAAGCAGCCCGGCCCGGGTCCCACCCGTGGCTCTCTGCTGGCTCGTCCTCGAGGCCGTCTAAGGGCTGGGCTTTGGTGAGCCCAGTCCCAGCTCCACTGCCTCCTTGTGTGTGGCCGTGATGTGTCCCCAGCCAGTGGGAGCCTCGGCCTCCACTTCGAGAGTCCCCCCTCTCACGGCTCTGGGACGGTGTGATGACGTCACATAAAGTGCGGGGCACAGGTGCTCACCCCTGGGGCCCTGGTCACTGTTGTCACGCCGCAGCTTGGTCCCCGGCCAGTCTCGGGCCACCCTGCTCTGTCGGAGCAGCAGTGGGGGCCGAGTCCGTGAGAGATGGGGTGTGTGTTGGTGAGGGGGCTGGCAGACGGGGGACAGTGGAGGGTCCCCCGTGACCCTGGGGAAATCCAACACGGAGGAGTGGAAGGTTAGCCGGCTCTCCCAAGTCCGTGCCTCCAGCCCTGCCTCCACGCCCGCCTCTCCCTTCCTGCCAGCACCGCTTCCGGTCGCCCCAGCCCCATCAAGTAGCTGCTGCTGTCCTCCCATTTTACAGAGTAGGAAACTGAGGCCCCAGGTCAGAGCCGGTCGTGGCAGAACCGACTGCGGGACCCAGGCTCAAAGCCACCCCTCCGCACTCCGTTTAAACCCTGGCACCCGCACGGCCCCTGCCGGCATCCAGGGCCTCTCCAGCATTTTCCATCCTCTGTGCCTGTCCCCCGACACCTCAACCAGCCCTGGGGCTTTTCACCTCCCATGTGGCCCCCGCTGGCCCGTCCTGAACCCTGCTTCCTTTTACCTTCCTGACATTCACGAGGTTTGTCTCCTGCCCAGAAGCCTCCAGGCCCCTGTGTGCCCAGGGTGGAGCCCACATGCTCAGGCCTGGCACTCGGGGCCTCTGATCAGGAGCTCCTCTGTCCTGAGAGGCCATTCGGGGTCCCCCGAAGATGCTGCAGGCCCTCCGTCCCCCAGGAGTCTGGTCCCCACCTCATGCCTTACCCGTCGTAAGCAACCGTCACTCGGTACCCGGCTCGTCTCCCTCCCCTGGACTTCACCGTCCCTTTTCATGGTGCTTTGTGCCGTGACGTAGGAGGCCCTCGTGGTCAGGGGTCATCCCGCATGCCTGCAGACCCCTCATCGTCACTGTCTGTGCCCTCCCGAGGTGGCCCATCCCCGGCTAGAGGGCATGTGAAAGGCTAGCCATGTGGGCAGAGCACCCCCGAGCACGGCTGTCCTCTGGGAGTTTGTTACAAAACCATTTCTTTCCTCCCTCAAGAAAACCACCCGGGCATTTACTCGGAAGGGGTTGTGCTAATCTTTGTTTTGTTTTGAGAGAGAGGGAGTGAGCCAGGGAGAGGCAGAGAGAAAGAGGGAGAGAGAGAATCCCAAGCAGACTCCACGCCGTCGGCACAGAGGCCGACACAGGGCTCGAACTCACAAACTGAGATCGTGAGCTGAGCCAAAGCCAACAGTCGGCCACTTGAACGACTGAGCCGCCCGGGCGCCCCGGGGTTTGTGCTAATCTTAGGAGGAAGAGTGGGCACCCTTTCAAAATGCTGATGTATGAGACAGCTGATGCAGACCTTTTTAGGGTTAAAGCCGTCGAGAATTAGAGCGGATTTCTTTGTGGCTTTGGGTGTGGACTCTTCCCCCATCCTTCCCAGGACCTGGTGGTTTGGCCTTGGTCCCTGTGGGGAAGGGACACTCTCTACCTCTCTGGATAGGTCAGTCTTCCTCCCGTGCCCCTCCCCACCCCAAGGCCCTGTGTGGTGCCCGTCAGGGAGCAGAGAATTTTCCTTGGCCTGAAGCTTGACTGAGCCCCAAACCCCTGGGATCCCATCTGCTTCCTGCCTCCTTTTGGGAATAGGCTAGGTTTATGCTGGTCTTTTCGTCACTGCCCCGTGCTTGCCCAGGGGCCTTGTGGGAGATTCAGCGCAAGTGAGCAGGGCTTAGCTACGCAGCAGGGAGGGTCCCAGTGCAGCCTGGAACATGCCTGCATGTTTTCGTGTTTGTTTACTCGCATGACTTCAGGATTGGAGCTGGGATCTGGGTCCTTGGGTCTACACGGCCTTTCAGGGAAGCTGAGCCTTCACGGGTGTGGTCGGGGCCACCTCTGAGCAGGGCCACGAGGCAAGGAAGGAGGCACGAGTCCCAGTCTCTCCCCGGTGCTGCCCCTCTGTGCATCCTGCTTCCACACAAACAAGTGGCAATAATTCGAGAAAACGTCTTGAAAATCTCGCTTCCGGCTCAGCCCTGCCTGCCGGGGCTTTGAGCTGCGGTCCCTTGAAATAGCCTCAGCATTGAAAGGTGGTTTTATTTTTAAGTTTATTTATTTATTTTGAGAGAGAGAGAGAGAAAGTGGGGGGAGTGGCAGAGATGGGATGGGGGGAGGAGAGAAAATCCCAAGCAGGCTCCATGCTGTCAGCACAGAGCCTGACGCGGGGCTCACGAACTGTGAGATCTTGACCTGAGCCGAGATCCAGAGTCCGATGCTTAACCGACTGAGCCAACCAGGTGCCCCGGAAGGTGGATTTTCAATCTCCAAAGAGTTAAGGCACCCTCTTTTGAGGTTTTATAAGTGGACAGGCTCCGGAGCCAGCCTTCCTGGCTTGGTAGCTGTGTGACTTCAGGCAGATTAGTTAGCCTCTCTGTGTTAACGTTTCCTGGCCTGCGCTACGGGGACAGTAAAAGTCCCCTTTTCCTAGGGTGGTTGAGAAGAGTCAATGAGACGATGCATGAGGACTAAATATGTGTTAACATATCGTTGCTGTTATCAATTTAGTAGCTATTAATACTTTAGTGGAGCAGGACTGGCACTTGGTGACCGTGTGCAGAACAAGATGAGACCCCCACCCCCCATCCCCAGCCTTGGACACCAGTTAAAGCTGGGTTGGTAAAGTTGTAACTTCCTGCTGTGTGACCTTAGGCAAGTTACCTAACCTCTTTTAGGGGCGGGGAGGGCTGGGTCCCCGTTTGGCCGCGGCCTGGTGCAGACCACGTGTGGAGTCTGCCTGTCTCCAGCCAGAATTTCAGACGCCTTTGACCCCCGAGATCTGCCAGGCGTGACCTCGCCCTCCCCGCGCGCCTCCCCGCTGAGTTGTAGAAGACGTTATGGCCCCGGACCAAAGGCACACAGGGTTCACGCTGCTCAGAATAAACAGTGAGCTTCTGAGAAGCTTCTGAGAAACCCCTCAGGGCGGGGTCCGTGCCTGCACAGGCTCCGCCCTGCCTCCCTGGGCTCCGGGAAGGACCTTAGCCGGCCGGCCGCTTCCAGAGAGGTCTCGGTGCGAGCTGCCACCCGTCCCCACTGTGTCCCCCCACCCGGCGCATGGTGTCTCTTCCTTCCCGGAGCATTGGGTGGTCCACTGCTTGGAGAAGGAGTCACCACGTTGGTTCCGTAGTGTATTTGGGAGGGGGTGACCCGTAAATCCAGAAGGCGGGAAGAAGGTGGTGCCACATCATGCTACAGTACGGGGGGCGTCTCCTGGCGGGAGCGGGGGCTCAGATCTGCTAAGGAAAGGGCATCAGCAGGCAGGTCACCCGCCCGAAGGCAGGCCCGTCCCATGTTGACTGCGTGTGGCCTCTGCGATGTCAGCTCCCGTCCCCCTTCGGGCCGTGCCTGGGCGTTGGAGAAGGACCCCAGGCAGAAGCAGCACAGCGCTCGGTGGGCACTAAAGGCAGGGCGCTGTCGGCAACAGAGGAGTCTGACGTCTGAATGCCCCTGGCTGTTAGGGACTCTGTGTCACTGAGGCTGGAAAGAGGTGGCAGGGCGGGAGGCCGGGGAGGCGCTCAGCTTGGCGGGGGTTCCGTACCGGGGTCCCGCGGCCTCGTGTTCCCGGCCACGTCCCGGGACTCTGGCCGATGGTCTTTCAGTGATCACCTACTGTGTGCCAGGGGCTGGGGCTCTGCAGAGAGGGGACTGCCTGCCCCGCAGGCCGCTATATCTGCCCGATGGCGGGGATGAGGCCAACGGCGGTTGGCAGAGGCCGGGAGGCCGTGGGTGCCACAGGCTTGCCCGGCATCCCCGGCAAGTCCGAGCCCGGGCGGGAGCTGTGAGGACGGCTGGAGGCCCGGCTTCTCTGGGCTCCTGGCTGACCTGCTGCTCTCCCCTTGCCGGCTCAGGAACCCGTCCGACGTGTGCACAGAACGCGGTGTCCAAGGGGCTGAGCCCTGGCCCGCGGCTCCACCTGGGGCCCAAGTGGGGTGTCGCCGCAGGCTCTGTCTTGACACCCGTGCCTGACTCTGGCCTCCCCCGTGCCCCCTCCCCCTGCAGACCTGGGACGAGGAGCTGGAGAGGTCGGCCGCGGCGTGGGCTCACGAGTGCATCTGGGAGCACGGGCCCACCGGTCTGCTGGTGTCCCTTGGGCAGAACCTGGCCGTCCACTGGGGCAGGTAAGAGCCGCCGCGGTCCCGCCCTCACTTGTGAACTGGCCGCCACGGTCCATTGTCACGTCCAGCCTGCTCATCGGTCCAGACGCTGATCGCCGGGCTCGGGCTTTCTGGAGCCGGGCTCTTCCGTTCCGTGTCCTTGAAAGGATTCCTGAGGGAGCCGGCTGGGTGAGCTGGGAACGCAGGGACGTTGCTTGCAGGGACCGGCCAGAGGGTCTTCTCCGCCCTCGGATGTCTGAGTCCTGCTCATTCTCCAGGGCCAGCCAGGCTCTGCCTCGCGAGCGGCTGCCCTCCTCCTCCCCTCCTTGTCCGGGGCAGGCCGGCTCTCACGGCCAAGGCCCCCTTGCCTGGAGGAGGCTCTTGACGGTGGTCTGTTACATGTCTCCCCCTGGCCTCCCCGGGGTCAGCTGGGCGCACGGCCGAGCCCCTGCCCGGCTGACGGCTGGTTTCCTTAGAGGACGGGGTGGGGGTGGGGGGCGGGGAACGTGTCTTCTGGGTCAGCGCAGACCCGCTGCCCAGCCGGACGATGTGCTGTGTCCCCAAGTCCTCCAGGCCCGGACCCAGAGCCAGCCAGGGGCTCAGGGCCCCCTTGGGCTTTGCCTCTACCGTTGACAAGTTGGACTGGACTTGAGGCGTCCCCTCGAAGGACGGGTCGGGGTTGGCCTGACTTGCGGCCCAGATGGCTCCCGGCTCTCGCGTTCAGCGTGGCCACGAGCGGTACTCCTGGGACAGAATCGGAGCAGGTGTCACGAGGGGCCCAGACACGTGACTTCACGGAAGCGAATTCACACTTTTTTTTTTTTTTTTTTTTTTTTTTTTTTTTTTGTCCTTGGGTGAATTCTGCTTTTGATAAAATCCGTCCTCCGGTCGCACGAAAAGACAATGTCGACAGGGAGGAAGCCCTTCGTCCCACAGCCCCAGCTCAGCCGCCCGCACTTGACTGGCGTAGCATCTGGCTGTGGGCCGGCATATTTTTACACAGTCGAGGCGGTGGCCAGGACAGCTTTTCATCCTTTTTCCTCCCTCCTCAGACGACGTCAGGCAGGTTTTCTCTTCCGTAGCCGTCTCGGCTGTCGTCGCAAAGGCTGCCTTCGGGCCACCCAGCGGACAGGCCCAAAGTGAGCCGTTCCGTCCTGGGACCTAGCCTCCGCCGTAGCTGCATCAGACCCCCTGGGAGGTGTGACAGTGCATAGGGCGCAAAGGTCTCGCCCCTCCTGGGTGCGTCGTGCCCTCCTGCCTTCACAAAGAGCCCCTCGTTCTCCGGGACCCCGCGGCAGCCCGGCCGTGGCGCTCCGGGGAAACGGGCGGGCCAGAGTGTCCCTTCGCTCCGTGGCTGTGTGGCCACGAGCGTCTTTTCCTACGTGGGCCCTCGGGAGAGAGGCCGTTTCCCCAGCCCCGTCGCTGACCGCCACCATTCGCTGTGGGTTCTGACAGTGTTCCAAGACCTCCTGCTGCACGCTCACCGCGGGGCTCGTGGACGCGGCCAGACCCCTCTTGTCTTTCCTCTTTATCGAACCCGCTTTGCTTAGACTTGCTGGTGACGGTGACTGGGGATTTACATCCAGTTTATTTTCTCTCCCGGTAAGGAGAAAATGATGCCAACCCAGCGGACGGAGCAGTGGCCAGCAAGGGTGATGACCAGGTGGGGACAGGCGTCCCCTCCCCCTGGGGGCAAGGGAGGGCTCGGGTGATAAAACCCTAAATAGGAAGTTCCCCAAAGGGTCTGCCCACGTGACTGCAGAGCTCTGACTGCCGGTTCCTGCGTCTTGAATTCCTTTTCCGCCTCGTATTTGACTCCTGGGGTCCCCGGCAGGAGTGCGGCCAGCCGTGACCGCGTGGAAACGAGAGGCTCCGGGTTCTTGTTTGGGGGTGCCAGGGACCTGCGCGCCCCCCGTAGCCAGCCATCTCCCAGCTTTCAGACCTTCCCCGCCGCTGTGGATGTCCTATCTGAGCCTTACCTGGACAGTCACTCACTGTTGTTCTCTGCACTGACCTTAAACGGACTCAACGCCTGAAATCAACTTGCGTTGTTGCTCTATTTTTTTTATTTTTATTTTTTAAGTTTATTTATTTTTGACAAAGACAGAGTGCGAGCATGTGCGGGGGAGGGGCAGAGAACGAGGGAGACACAGAATGGGAAGCAAGCTCCAGGCTCCGAGCCGTCAGCCCCAGAGCCCGACGCGGGGCCCGAACTCACGAACTGTGAGATCATGACCCGGGCCGAAGTCGGAGGCTTAACCGGCTGAGCCACCCCGGCGCCCCGTCAACCTGTGTTTTAAGCGACATCTGGGAAATGGGGCGCTCAGGGGCCACGTATATTTTCCCAAATGTACGCTTGATTGTAACGTAAAGAATGGCTCGCTGGGGGCCGGGCGGGAGTTTCCCGCACACATAGGTGGCATGTGGGCCCCCCAGGGACTCTCCTGGCGCCCAGGGGGACCCCGGGGGTACCCTTGCAAGGGGAGCCCTTGCAAGTCGGGGTTCTCGGCAGTGATACAGGCGCTGGGCGGGATCTGCGGCCCCTTGCCCGGAGCCTCCCCTCCTCCCGCCTGCCCGTGCGTGGTGTCGCTGGTTGCTGCGGTCTCTGTCTGCTGGGGGTGCGGGGGCCGGGACGTGACAGGCTGATCTGCCCCCGCAGGTACCGTTCTCCCGGCTTCCACGTGCAGTCCTGGTACGACGAGGTGAAGCACTACACGTACCCCTACCCCCACGAGTGCGACCCCTGGTGTCCGGAGAGGTGCTCCGGGCCCATGTGCACCCACTACACGCAGGTAACGCTCCAGGCGCCCCCCCGAGCCCCTTCACTCACCTGGCCGCGCAGGACGGCCACCCAGCCAGGAAACTCTGCACTCCCGTTGCCGCAGCTGTTTTCTTTGACGTGGCGTTAACTCCAGGTGTCGCCGGCGGGCCGGGCTGGTGTTTGTGACCCAAGTACGGAAGCTGAGAGTGTAACAGGGATCTTCAGGGGGTGAGGGGAAAAAAAAATCTGGTCCTTCCCCGCTTCACATCATACCCCTTTAGCACCAGCAGCCTGTACATCGAGGTCACGTCGTGTTGGCTCGTCCTTAACTCTGACACACGGGTGTCCTCTTTTCAGATAGTCTGGGCCGCCACCAACAAGGTCGGCTGTGCTGTGAACACCTGCCCGAGGATGAACGTGTGGGGAGATGTCTGGGAGAACGCGGTCTACCTCGTGTGCAATTACTCTCCAAAGTAAGAACACGTGACGTGGCTGGAAGGGCTGGGATGCGCTCGCCGGCCATGGAGGACCCAACTAAAATAGGCTTGAGTGGTGAAGTCTCTTCACGAGTTCACATAACGACACACCTAGCGATGGGTGCATCCGGTGTAGCTTAAAAGCGCTGCGGTATCGGCGAAGACTCAAGCTCTTTCTGTTTCCCGGCTGTGCTATCCTAGCCTCTTGCTCCCAAGATGGCTGCAGAGCACCAGCCATCACATCCCCCCAAACTAAAGGGAAGAGAATGGTAGAAAAGGGCTTTCTCTCAGGCCTTCCTCACCCCCGGCCCACTTTCTCATGTCATTGGCCAGAACCAGGCCACTCACAGACGAGGGGGGCACAAGATTTCCCCAGCTGGCTTTAACCAATGAAATTGCCCTAACTGGCTTTGCCGGTCATCTGGGACCGTCCGACCAATCGGAAGTGGGAATGGCTGTTGACCGGCCAACCAGTGGGGTGTGCCATGGCAATACTCTGGTCTTTTTCTTCTCTAAAAATACGCAGCGGACAGCATTCTAGCAAACAAAGTCACGCTAGACCTGGTTTTCGCATTTTTTACGCTTCCCCTGCTGGGAAGGCCCGCGTGGCACCTCTGTGTGGCAGCCCCCTTCTTCCTCACGCCATGCTGATACCGTCGGCGTGCCACTGGTCCCTTCACTCATTCACCCCCTTTGCCCCTCAAATACGTGCCGATTCTCAGAGCACGATCTTCCCAGCGGAGAGCCCGCGGTTTGCACGCTGGCCGCGGGGCTGGCCGCCACCCTCGCACCGAGCCGCGCGCACGGTGTGCCCTTGGCGCGTGCTTGCTCCGTGACCGAATGCAATACAAATGACCTCACTTATTTGGTTTGGGCCGGGAGTGGCCGCGAGGAGGCGGCGTGGGGCGGGGGGTGGGGGGCAGCATCGCTAAGGTCGGGAAGCAAATAGCCACTCTGGGTGAAAGCATCTGGCGCTGCCCGAGCCGGCCGCGTCTCGGCAGCCCGCAGGCCTGAGGGCCGGCCGATTATGTCATCGCCGGGGGGAGGCGCAGGCCTGACAAAGACCAGTGATGGGCCCACGATGGTGGGACCCCGCCCCCCCAACCCCGGCCCGGTGGCAGGTGGCGGGTGAGGGATACTTCCATTTGACTGTTGGTGTAAAAAAAAAATCCACCGGAAGAACCTAGCAGAAAAAAGTGCTGCCTGTTTTTGGTTCCGGCTGGTTTTTTGTTGTTGTTCTTTCCCCAAAAGGAATAACGTCTGTATGGTACGCGCTAGTCTTTTTTTTTTTTTTTTTT